TCTGAAATTTTAGTACTTCCATTTAGCAACAAAATTTAGTAGAAGTTTTAAGTCTTCAAATTAAATCAAACTCATTACTATCGAGTCAGTTGGGACTCACACTGATTCTACAAGGCAGAATAAAACACTGCCCCAAAGAGCACAGGGCTCCCAAAGCTACAATCTTTATGTGAGCTGAGTGCCACATCTTTCTCCCATGGAAAGGCTGTGTTCCCAAAATACCTTTTGGTTAACAGTTGAGCACTTAACCACTGCACCATCATGGTTACCTTTTCAAATAACACATTTAAATAAGCCTTATCGCTCAAAATGAATCAATAACCTTCTCCCCTAACCACACTCAAAAAACCTCACTGCCACACAGTCGATCCCGACTCACAGCCATCCTATAGGGCAGGGTAGAACTGCACCTGTGGGTGAAGGAGACCAACTGTTTATGGGAGTAGAAAGCAGTGTCTTTCTCCAGAGGAGTGGCTGGTGGTTTCAAACTGTGGACCTTGCGGATTACTGCCCAACTCTCAACCATTATGTTACCAGCTCAATATGCATCTATAACCTCTTCCCTTAATCAAAAATTATTTTCCAGAAAGCTGATACCAAAGTCATTGTCATGGGGTCAATGCTGACTCATAGCAACCCTTTGGGGGCTTCCAAGACTAACTGTTTACTGGAGTAGGAAGCCCTTGGAGGTGATTTTCCAACTGTGTTGAGGTTACCTTTCACGCAAACGAGGGGTAACTGTACCTAGGAAATACAGCTAGAATGATGACCGGTTTATACAAACACCAAAGACAACACATACACATTACCTGCATTTGGTTCTAGTAAATGTTTTTATTAAGCCTAAACGTTAATCTGTTTTCAAAAAAAAAAAGTAGTCTAACATAGAGGTTCAGTGATAAACAAATCTTACCTCAGCAATAAACTACCACGTCCTCTACCTCCACCAGGACCAGAAAGGGCTAGCAATCTGGCTTGAATGGGCCTGAAAGAGATCGAAAATCCCATGTATCCATCACCTGAAGAAGACACAGCTGGGGCACCACCCACCTCCCAAGGGTGCGATTCGGAAGCGCTGAGCTGAAAAGTCGTCTTCAAACCACGTGTGTGAAACCAGACAGGAAGTACTATCTGAAATGAACTTCCTCGTTTTTCCCGGAGTAATATCTGAGAAATTAAATTTGCCTCTATGGCACTACACAGGAACACGACTGGGTCTGGTGCTAATCGCGCCACCCCCGGGAGGTCTGCACGAGGGGCCCGGGAAGGTCTCTGGACTGGCGGGGACCCCGGGGACGGGGCTTTGTGCCACTGTCCAGGCCTGTGGGACCGAGGGCGGGAATCGGTAGCACCGGCCTCCCCAAGGGCCAGGAACCTTCACGCCTCACGCAGGCCTAATTCTCCATGTTCGCCCACCTGAGTCCCGGCTCCCCCGACAGGGGGCTTGAAGACGCCCCACCGCACCACGGACGGGGTTCTACCGTCGCTCAGTTACCGTCCAAGAGGTTCCAGCCTTCTCAGAGCTGGGCGCCCTCCCCGCCCCCACTTCACCTCAGCTCTGAGAGGGCTCCCTCTCAGAGGCTGCGGTTCCCGCAGACTCTTACCTCACGTCATTTGGATCCCGCCCGGTGAGCTTGCGAATATTCTCATCCACGTTCTTGAGGCTCTCTTTGGCCTTTTCTAGCTGCTCCTGCAAAGTTCTCACTGCGACCGCCATCTTCTCCCGGTTGCAGGCTTCAAGATTGCTGTATCTACAGGCCGCGCCAGGCTCTGCCGCGCTGCGCCGTGCCGCGCCGCGCCGCGCGACGCGAAAAGACGGACAGTTCTGCTCAGCCAATGGCAATAGGCGTTGTTTTCCGGCCTCAACCACTCAGCGATCAGAAGAGGGGAAACGATCGGCCTTTGAGACTCTGGGCCAATGAAAAGCTTGCTACGATATCACCTCCCTCCCTCCTTAGCTGGGAATGGCTGGGCTCAGCTTCTAGCGCAGAGCCGGGGCGGGTTTGAGAGTCGATGGCTCCTCGGGGACGTGGTGGGCTCCGAGCTTGGTATCCTGGCGAGAAGCGGGAAGGTCTCTTTTCAACCTGAGTTGTGATAGGATTTACATTTAATCAAATCAGTGTAGGACGGAAGGGAAGTCTAAATTTCCTATCTCCGCCTCCAAAGATTTGGTTAGAGGGCGTGGCCATTCTGTTGGTGCGCATGCCCAGAGAGGGATCGGCGTGGGGAGGGGGGCGGTCGGTGCCAGCATCCTTTGATAAGATTTAACTAAAACGAGCAGAAGTATGTGGAACAGAAAAAGTTACAAATAATAAAAGCTAAGTATTATGAGTTGGTCTTGATTAGGCTTCTCTGTAAAACTCTTTACGTGTCTTATTTCTCACAAAAGTTTGACTAACGTGCCTGTAATTAATTTAATTGGAAAAGTCTGGCTTTGTGAATTAACAAGCTAAAACGCATGTTAAAACGAGTTTGCCAAATTTAAATAGTAAATATCCCGCATATGTGTTTGTATCACTTAGTATCTGCATCTCTTCCCAGTAAGTCTCCCATCAGCCATAGATTCTTTTCAAATTCTTTCCCACAGTAATGTTTCTGAATTCCTTAGCACTTTTCTATATTGTGTAATTATGATTAACTTGTGTTACCAGAATTAGGTTGTCTACCAAAAGAAAGGTTTACTTTTGGAAGATTTAGGACATCACAGAATTTTATATATAAACTCCTAGCCTTACCAACCTTGGTATTTCTTACCCTGGCCTATGCATCAATCGCTGTGACAATTAGATAATTTCATGTCCACTTGAAGATATATGAAAGTGTAGGCTTGTAACCAACCTGTCAATCAGGTCACAGCCTGCTGGTGCCTCCATGTGGGGGAGGTCTTCTTATAAGGAGGGTCCTGGGAGTCTCCTTTTCTCTGGGTCCCTTCACCTGGCTGACCCTGATTGCTGCATTCACTGATGCATTCACTGCCATTCGATCGATGACCCTGCACCCACCAACCTGCAGTCCACATCATTGCTTGTGACTGTGTGAGTCTGAAGAGGGTCTCATGAGCTAGTATCAGACTTAAAGACTTGAGTTGGACTGGCCTGGGATGGTTTCTTGATATATAATTACTTTTTGATATAAAGCTCTTTCTTACACATATATGAGTGTCTGTGGGATATAAAAAGACTGTTCCCCAGCTGGTCTCCCCCAAATATATGTCAGTCCTAGGACACTGCTTGCAACTAATGGTAAATAATTGTCAAGTTATCTCCCTGAAGGCATCAGCCATCCAGAGCAAGCAGACTCCTGTCTGGTCCACCTGAGGTGGGGCTCACACCCTACTGATAAGAATATTAATTGTTTCCAATGAGAGCCAGAGAAGTGGTTAAACCTGCTCAGTGACATCCAAAGTTAGGCTGCCATCCTGAATCTAGGATCCGCCATCTTGTCACTTGTGTACCCCCAAGCCCCGCTTCCTATTGCGTGTACCCCTAGATTGCCCCCCTCCCTTTGCCATATTACCTGTAGTACAACCCCTTCCTGTGATGCATGTCTTTACCTGTAATCGGGGCTTGCACAGCCCCAAAGATATATAAACCTTGGCTAGAAATAAATTGCTCTCTCCTGCTCTCTCGTCTCCCAACTCCACATGTACCAAGAGGTGCTGAGGTGAGCATGCCACCATGAAATGTGCCTGACTCCTTTATTTTACTTTCTCTTCTATCTCTCTTACTCTCTATGACTTTACTATAACCTTTATATATCTTAACCGTATAGTTGCGTTTACTGAACCGTGATAGTGTGAGGGGCTGGTTCCCTGCACAAGTATCATTGGATTTGTTTCTCTAGTCACCCGGCCTAACCGCCAAAACCAAATTCAGTGCCATTGAGGCCATTCCAACTCCTAGCAACCAGATGGGACAGGATAGAACAGCTCCCCTGTAGGTTTCTGAGACTAACTCTTCATGGCAGTAGAAAGTCTCATCTTTTTCTGGGTTAGTAGCTGGTAGTTCCAAACTTGTAGTTAGCAGCCCAACATGTTATCACAGAATTTTTAAAGGCGTGTGCACAAGATTCTCAGAAATTTCCATCAGGGCAGCAAGGTATTCTGGGTAAAGTAGTAGTCCCAAGATACTGTTTTGGGCTCCAAGCATGCTCTTCCAACCTTCACCTTTGCTCCCTTGTTCTGTCTGATTTCCCCCTTATGAGATATTTCATACCCATAATTCTTTTGGGATCAGGGGAAGTGCTCTATAACAACTTCTTATATGAAGTGTAGTGTCTCATCATACTGTCTATAAAAGGAGAAATCTCTCCTAGTCTACTCTAAAGTAGAGCAAATTATTTCAGGTGAAGGTATGTTTCACTTGAGACAGCCATTCACAGGCATAGGTTTGTTCCTGGTTTGTAGTCCAGGTTTCAAGACAGACTGGATCTGTTATTTTATGAAATTCTGTGACAGTTATACGAAATGTTCTAGGAGAAATTATTATCAGTCATGAGACAAATGAAGAGAGAGACAAGGAATGGACTGACACTCCATTGATGT